GTATATCATCATCATCATTTTCATCATCATAGCTATCGTATAAATATTATATAACAAAAGGCATTTTGTCTATTAGAATGGTGTATTGAATCCTAAAATTTGTCATTCAGACTCAAAATATTTGTAATGTGCTGTTCTTGTTATGGAATTTTTTTTCTTTATTTTTTATTATTAGCGTAATCTTTTTCTGCACCTGAATAAAGAAATTCAACCCAAAATTATATGGAATCATTTCTCTACTACATGATTTAGCAATAAATCCCAACATATACATGTGTGTGTGTGAATAAAAAGGGTGATGGTTGATTTTATGGTACTCCCACTTACTTGCTTATGTGTTCATGCATATGTATAACATCAGTAATTGGAGGACTCGGCTCACTCTGGCTACCTGTACTGACTCACATTCTTCTATGACTTCAAATCATTTTTGAAAATATTTTTCAATACTGGACTCAGATTCAAGTCTATGGCTACTCGAGCCTTCATGAATCAAACCTTTAAGTTATGTCCAGGAGCCAAAGTATACTCGTATACCTGCTATATATATGTATATATGTATGTACACACACGTGTATATCAGCCAGAAGGGTAGTAGAAAAAATGTCAGTTCTATAATTTGCCTAAGAAAACAAGTAATCAAATGCATGCACGATATATCATATTATTAATTAACGACTTTGTTTGAAAAAATTAAAATCTGGAGATATATATATATATATCTAATAACATGAAAGAATTATATATGTGTGAGTGAAAGATTCCTGAACCCAAAGGAGAATGAATAAGATTAATTTGGGTTGACGCTTCATGATGGAGATAGAGTTGGATGAAAAGCCAGTATATGCATTTTGAGATGGCTGCAGCTTTTAACTCGTAGTTTTTCGGAGATGACCCAGTAGATGAGATTTGTTTTACTGTTGAAGATCTCTCAATTAATTATGAAGTGGTAAAGATCACAGTACAATCTCTCAAGAAGAATTTCTGGTATCATCAAGATCTAATTTATGGTGGTATCCTCTTCCAAATAAAACATAATTGCTAATTGGCAGATGAAAACTAGACAAAAACTTTTTTAAAAAATATGTTATTCCAATCATATATAATTAAAAAAACAAAAGCATTATATTCTGACCCAGGTGTGTGTGTATATATAAGTATGAATCTTCATAAAAATTTTTTAAGATTTATCATAGATGTGTATTGTTTCCAAAAGAAGGAAGCTTGTTCCAGAAGATACCTATTAACCACTTTAATTAATATATTCATTAGATATAAGTATATTATATAGTTTATATTGTAGTAATCGTGTTAATTAATCAGTGTGTTGAAGATATTGTTTGAATCCTTAGCTACGGAGAAAAAAGAGACATCATGTTGATTTGACGTCAAGAAAGAATATTCATAAAATTCAATCCTCTCATCATAATAATCTATACTCATGTATATATATATATATATATATATTTATTGTGGAAGACTTTAAGCACCGAAATTGCCTGGAAGATGACAGCGCGGATCTTCCGAGTACTTGAGACTGAAAAATACGGTGAGTGATATTATCAGTTGCAATACACAACTACTTATTTTACGGAGAACAATTATCAGACTGACACTTATGCTCAAGAAAAGCAATCCCCTACAAGTTGTTTGCATATATATATATATATGTCACCACGATTTACATGTAATATCCACCTAAAAAAATAAATAAATAAATAAGATTTGAAATTTGAAAAAAAATTTTAAAAATTTAAACTTTTAATTAATTAGAGACTTAAATGAAAATAAATAAATAAAAAGATTAAAAACATAAATAAGTAGAAGTAGAATGGGGCAAAGGAAATAAGGAGAATGGATGACCCAAATCGGATCGGTTGAGGAGATCGGATGGAAGAGATTTAAAAGAAAACGGATGACCTAGATCAAGTCATGAAGATCTAATGGTTGAGGGAGCGGGTATAAAAAGAAAAGAGATTAGGATTTTCTCTTCATTTTGAAGAATAGCCGGAAAAGAGAGAAGAGCAATCGGGAAGGGAAGGAAGAAGAGAGGGTCACGCGGGGAAGCCGATAGGAAGAAATAAGGAGAGGGAAGGAAGAGGAAGGGAAAAGAGAGAAAAAGGAGGAAGGAGAAGAAAAGAGAGGAGGGGCCGAGCGTGAAAGAGAAGGGGAGCCAAAGAGCGACCACCACGAGGGAGGAAGAAAAGAAGAGAGGGGCGGAGGTGGGAGAGTGTGGAAGCCGAACCGAAAGGAAGAAGGAGGAGAAGAGAACGGCCGAGATGTCGTGTGATGGCAGAGACCGAGGCAAGCGAGATAAAGGTTTGTCCTTTTTGTCTTTTCTTCCCTTATTTTCCTTTTAATCTATTTCTATTTTGCACTAACTGACTTTTTAAGTGTAAAAAATCATCATTCTAATTGCAAGTACGTAAGGAAGCCGCGGGGTGACTGAGAGGAGGTGACCGGGAGCCAAGCCGATGCCAAAATGTCCACGTCGAAAGGTAAAATCATTTTATTTTCGTGTTTTGGTGGTGGTTGAGCGGTGGTGGGGCGAGGCTGGTGTCGGGCTGGCCGTGCGGACTCGGCCAAGCCACCCACCAGCGTAGGAACCGAGGAAGCCTTCTTCTAGAATGGAGAAAGCTGACCCATTTGGGAAGCCGAAGAGTCTTCCCCGATCATGGGAACCTGACCCACTAGTTTGGAGTTCTGATTCGCT